TCAGGCCACAGTTAGGGATGGAAGGCACGGAGCGTGAGTCACCCTGCAGCCCTTATCTGTCAGCCCAAGGAGAAGAGAACTGTCCTAGCCTGATGGGCACCATAAAAGGCGAGGCAGGAGGAGGAAGAGGATGCACTGAAAGATACCCTTTTAAGAGAAACACAAATCCCGTGAGAGCTGCCTAAGAAATTATCCTGGTCTTCCACTTCCAAGACCGGGCAAAAGAAAAAGCCCTTGTGGTTGTGAGCATATTTGTAGAAATGTACAAAACCAAAGCCTTGTTACTTTCTAAAGCAGATCAGTTTGGACAAAATATTCACACTTCACTGAGGAAACAAAGTGATTGCATGAAAACCATGCAGTTTAAACATGCATGTTCCAATGAATATCTTACAGTGAAGAATCAGGACGAAAAGAAGCAGTGAAGTTTAAAACAGCTCCCTTAAACACAAAACTGTAGGACAGCTTGGAACATTAACTTAAATTCTTGTTGGGTATTCAGCACATATGCGTACAATGCCCGCCATCTGCTGACAAGGTTTGGTACTGATAATTTGGAAAGCACTCAGGAGGGGTGGATTTTGGCAGAGGATAATTTACTCAATTTTGCAGCAAGTGCTCAACATTAAGTACTTATAACATCAGGGCACAACATATGCAACAAATATCATATCTTGGACCTCATATCTTTATATTTTCTGTTTTACAATATAAGAAGAATACCTACTTCTGGGCAGGAAGAAATTCTGGACTGGTAGGCCCTCCCAGTCACTATTCCCTTCCTCCTCTGTTACATAAACGGAATCATACAGTATGAATTCTTTTTAGTCTGGCTTCTTTCACAAACATTATGTTTGTGGGAGTCATCCGTCATGTTAAGCATAGGAGTTGTTTCATCATTTTCTTTGTATGAACAGATCACAATTTATCTACTCTACTGCTGATGAACATTTGGATTGTTTCCAGTCCTTGGCTATTACAAATAACATGTAGCTTTGGACGTTCTTGGCTGTGTCTTTTGGTGAACATATGTATGCATTTCTTTTGGGTGTATATTTGGGAGTGATACTGCTGGGTCATAGGGTATTCAAACATTTAAACTTAGTAATAATGCCAGTTTTCTAAAGTAGTTATACCAAATATATTCTAAACAACCACATATGAGAGCACTATATACTTGCCAACTTGATGTTATTAGGCTTTAAAAAATTTTAGCAATATTAGTGGAAATGTAGTAGTATCCTATGACTTTAATTTTCATTTCCCTGGTGACTGATGAGAAGAATGTCATTTAATATCTTTTTAGTTATGTGGGTATCCTTTCTTGTGAAAAGTCTCTTGCCAGGGAGTTCCCTGGCAGTCCAGTGGTTAGGACTTGACACTTTCACTGCCATGATTCAATCCCTAGCTGGGGAACTAAGATCCCGCAAGCCACAGGACCCGGCCAAAAAAAAAAAAAAAAAGTCTCTTGTCCACTTTTCTATTCAGTTGTTTGTCTTTGTTTCATTGATATATAGGAGTTCTTTACAGATTCTAGACATGAGCCCTTTGTCAATTATATGTATTACAAATATCTTCTTCCTCTTTCTTCTTGTCTGTGGTATGAAACATATGGTGATTTAAGTATAAAACAATATAGCATCAAGCAGAAGGGAAGAGAGAATTAACATACTCAAAGTCCCTTACATTGTCCAGAAAGTGGTTAATTGGCTAACTGCATTAGAGTGTAATAGGTCAGGGATACAAGCGACATATTCTATGGTAATCACTAGAAGAAAAATAAAATAATGTATAACTTACCAGTTAATAGATAGGGAAAGGGATGACAAAAATATTTGACTAAACTAAAGGAAGGCAAGAAAGAAGAAAGCAAGGAACATAAAACTGGTAGGACAAAAGGAAATTTAAAAACTCAAATATATCAGTAATTAAAACAAAAAAAATGAAGATTGAAAATTAAGAGATGGAAAAAGGTATTATAGGAAAATTGTTACCAAGAGAGCTAAAATATCAATTTTAGTATCAGGCAAAATAGATACAGACATAGGGGACAAAGAAGAACAATATATACTCACAAATAAAATAACAGATTAAGAAGACAGGCTGTTTAATTCTACTGCCACCCAACAGAATATATCAGAATATATAAAAAAATGACTGGCAGAATCATGGGAAGCTACAAATGGATCAATAATTATAGTTCGAAATTTAAGCACACTTACCTTAAAAGCTAATGTACCAAATTGGCAAAAGGTAAAAATATATATAAATCTGAGTAACAGAATTAATAAAGTTACCCTAATACAGATTTATTAGAACCTTAAACACAACAGGTAAAGAATACAATTTCCTTTTGTAGCATACTTGGAACATTCACAAAAATTGACTATGGACTAGGTCACAAAGGAAGCTTCAGTAAATTTCAGAGAGTTGATACTATACAAATATGTTTCTGCCCACAATGAAGTAAAATTAAAAATCAGTAACATCAGAATATCTTGAAAGAATCCCATATATATGCAAACTAGAACACATATCATTTGAATAATATCTGGATTAAAGAGTAATTTATAAACTAAGTTATGTGAGTGATAGTGCTACATGTTAAAACATGTGGGATAGGTTAAAGCAAGACTCACATGGACATTTTGGAGAATATCTTTAATATTTGGGTGGGAAACTCTCAAAGCATAAATCATAAGGTTAAAATTAATGGATTTGACTCTAGAAAAATTAAGTTCCATGCCATGAAGAACACCATAGACAAAATTAATAAATGAGTGATAGATATAAGAAAATATTTGTAATATTGTTAATTTATAATATATAAGAAAATCTCAATTATCAATAAGAAAAGCACAGGAAACCCCAAAAGAAAAATGAGAAAGAATGCTAACAGGCTATTCACAGAAGGGGAATCCAATGGCTAAGCAGTATATGAAGAGGTACTCAAACTCACTAATAAGAGAAACATAAGTAAATTGAAAAGTAATTAAATAGTACATATATGCATCAAGGTGGCAAAGGTTAGAAAGACCAACAATGACAAACATTGTTGGGGATGTGAGAAAACAGGAACCCACGTGCCCCACAAGTGGGAATGCAGATGGGTGTAGCAATTGGCCAGTGTGTGGTGAACTTGAAGTATGAGTGTACCCTGTGACCATGCAATCCTACCCTTAGAGTATAAACTCAGAAAAGTCTCTCTGAGCCTCCTAAGTGGAGCTGCACAAGGATGTTCATGGCAGCACCATTGTGGGAGCTGGGAACTGGGGATGAGCTGAATGCCCACTGCTAGGAGGACAGACAAGCACAGGATGGCAGATGCATTCTATGGAGCACAACAAAGCAGCCAGCAGCAACAACTAAAAACAGTGCTGAGTGGACAAAAGTGAGAAACAGAGTGAGACACATACTGCAAATTTATATAAACCTAAAACATATAAATACAGAAAACAATGCTATTTATTATTCAGAGAAACATATTTAAAGACATAAATCATTGTTTAAAAAGGTTATCTATGATCTGTATGTGACAGAATGAGAGTAAGGATCAGAGATGGAAGGAAAAAATCAATTTAAAAAAGCATATCAGGGACTTTCCCGGTGGCGCAGTGGTTAAGAATCCGCCTGCCAGTGCGGGGGACATGGGTTCGAGCCCTGGTCCGGGGAGATCCCACATACCGCGGAGCAAGTAAGCCCGTGTACCACAACTACTGAGCCTGCGCTCTAGAGCCTGCAAGCCACAACTACTGAGCCCTCGTGCCACAACTACTGAGCGCTCGTGCCACAACTACTGAAGCCCACGTGCCTAGAGCCCGTGCTCTGCGACAAGAGAAGCCACCTCAATGAGAAGCCCGTGCACCACAATGAAGAGTAGCCCCCCACCCTTCCCGCAACTAGAGAAAGCCCACGCGCAACAACGAAGACCCAACTCAGCCAAAAATAAATAGATTAATTACTTTTTTAAAATGTTAAAAAAAAAAAGTGTACCAAAGGTTTGCATGGACTGATGAATTCTCTGCACTTCATATCCAAAAACACTCCCAAATAAACAAATTAACAAGAGTGGACTTATGATCACAAAAATATCTTTAAAAGCATGAGTCAAAGTTAGTCCTTCCCAGCTCCCATTCATATGGAAGCATTAGGTGTGCTCCTTCAGGGCCCTTTCCTTCTTAAAATGAGTCCATTGGGTCCCTGAGTTCTCTTGGGAATCAACCTATATGTATAGTCTGATTATTAACTTACACTGAATTCTTCCAGGCTTGGTTAAAGGCTGCCGCGTAGGTCTGCTGGGGATTCTCTGCCTCTTCTAGAATAGACCTTTCTCTGCCCTCTTCCTCCCACAAACACATCCTTCCAAAGAGTGGGTACATTCTCTGTCACCCCACTGCTCTGGGGAATTGGCTTGGAGTTGGCCTTTGGAGAGGGATAAATGTGCTGACTAACCAAGGCCCCTTCTCCCTCAGGCTCCAGCCACTATATCTCTTCCACCTGGATTTATTTGGTGAGTGTGGGTTGGGGGTAGGGAGAACAAGGAACAATCTTCTCATTCTCGTGGATTCAGATATCTCTAAGATCTTTCTCCTTTGAGTCCCTAATCGTAAAATCAATGTATTGAAATATTTTAGACTAGAACAGTAGGGGAAAAAAGGAAGATGGGGGTGTGGGGAGGGGAGGGAAGGAAACAAGGGCGGGAGGATAGGGGCAAGGAGAGCAGGCAAGAAATAAAAGTCAAGAGAATGACATCAGGACTCTAGGACCCAGGGGTGGGTATGAGAGCACTACACATTTAGTGAAGAGTGCCACTGACGTACATGCCTTGGTTGTGGCTGCTCTGATGTGACTGTCGTCCTCCTCTTTTAATTCTGGACAATGGCCATGGAGAAGCCACCGACACAGCACCATGTAGAAGCTCCTCCTGCCTGAAGACAGAGTCTTCTGGCAAAGAACCTCCAGGAATCACGTATACAAAAAGTCCTAAACTGAAAACTTACTGTGCAAATGACAATTTGATCTGCGTTTGAATTTCTATCCATTCTTCCTTTATAATCCTTCCACATTGCAGCAGCTCCTTTGAAAGTCTCTCTGCTTTTGTCAAATTCTCTGAAGCTTCCTTAAACCTGAGTTGTGTTCAGGAAACTTTACACTTGGTGCTACATTCTGGGGCCCTAGTTCCTGGATATCCTTGGCTCTCATACTTCCCATCACCCTTCCTGAGTCACCTGTCATCTTTTGATTTGGCCTTAAAAATTAACTATAAGCATTATGAACGGTATTTCTATTTGTAAAGATTAGAGGCAAAAGGATACTTTTGAAGGGAGAGTAAGGCTCTCCCCATGGTATGGAATAACTCAACCGAACACTTGAAAACATCTGTATTGTCATTGTAGGGATGCACAATGGAGTTGGTGAGGATTTCTTTGGCTTTTTCTGCATGTTGTTTTGCTTGCAGTGACAGTCCTGTGGACAAAGAAAAAGAAGTCTCAGTTTCTCTTTCATTTCAGCTGGACAGGAATATAGTTATCTCTGGCCAGGGAATCTGATGAGGTCTCCTTCACATATCATCAAGTGGCACATGGAGATATATCGGGACAGCATGAAATACGATCATGACTATAAGAAACAAAGAAGTGTTTCACACCTAGGACTCAAGATAAAAAATTTTTCCCACAATGGTCTTTTTAGAAATAATCAGAATGAGCAGGAATTGAACAGCTTTGAAACTTCACCAATATCAGACGTAAAATGTTATGAATAATTATAAAAAAACAAACGGAATACAAAGACTACAGCATTCTGGGAAGGAAATAAAATATTCATGAATTTTAATCCTGGCTTTGTGACAGCAATCTTAATGAAATACTAAAAATTCTGAATCTTCTGCTCACCCATCCATAATCATAACTTTAGAGAGTTATTTTAACATAATACAAATATGATGATATCTATAAAAACTGCCAAACAATTCCAATGAGGTAAGGGGCTGATGTGCTACAATCTCTTATTTCTATGTGGTAATAGACTGAGATGAATCAAATGAAGTTTAAGAACAGTTACTACCAAGAACTAATTCCCGGTGGGTTCCAGCGTTCTTCCATTGGCGTATTCATTTGTGGTAAAGGTGACACTGAGGATCACTATTTAGGTCTCAGGTTTTTTCATTTTCCCATATCCCCATCTTCTTCCCCACAATGACACACCCTTCCACCCACATCCTAATACTCCTGGTCTTACGTTCTTCATTACATGGAATTGTATCTCAAATCTCTAAAAAGAGCTGTCAAATTATGAAATTCATTCTGTTCCTATGTTTATAAAACAGAATATATTTTCTGAGGGAGAAAATCCAGGGTATGCTATTCCTATAGGAACACTTACAGAATTTTGTCTTGTTTTTTTTAAAAGTACACAATCAACCTACCAGAAATTTATTAGTGCCAATAATGTATGCAACATTATAAAAGACATGATGAATTCTGGTCCATTTCCTCAAGAAACTTGAACTCAATCTACAAGAGGCAGCATGGGTTGAGGTTCAAGAACACTAGCTCTGAAATCAGACTGCTCAGAGTGAATTCCCTGCTCCACCACTTACCTGAAATGTTGGCCCCAGCTTCCTCGACTGTAGACAGGGATAATAACATTACCCACCTCATAGCACTGTAGTGAAGATTGAAGGAAATTATACATGGAAAATAGCATGGTGCCTGGCACTCAATAAGACCTTAATAAATAGTAGATACTGCTTTTACTTTAAATTGAGAAAGAAAGACTATAATGCAGAAAGGTAGCAGACTGTAGAAGAAAAACATCATTAAAAAAAATCCCTGATGCTAGGACACTGGTACTGGCAACCAAAATCCTAGGTCTGAGCCTCACATCAGCTATCTATTAACAGTGTGACCTGAGGCAAGCTGTTTCAATTCAAAATAGTTGTTTCCTCTGAATCTAGAAAATAGTGGGTATAAGGGTATGGTTTGAACTAGATGATCTCCAACGTCCCCTCTGGCTCTAATAGTCTTTTTTTTTTTTAATTTTTATTTATTTATTTATTTATATTTATTTTTTGGCTGTGCTGGGTCTTCGTTTCTGTGCATGGGCTTTCTCTAGTTGCGGCGAGCGGGGGCCACTCTTCATCATGGTGCATGGGCCTCTCACTGTCGCGGCCTCTCTTGTTGCAGAGCACAGGCTCTAGTTGCGCAGGCTCAGTAGTTGTGGCAAATGGGCCTAGTTGCTCCGCGGCATGTGGGATCCTCCCAGACCAGGGCACGAACCCGTGTCCCCTGCATTGGCAGGCAGACTCTCAACCACTGTGCCACCAGGGAAGCCCCTCTAATAGTCTTTGATCTAACAGGTAGGAGCAATCTATAATCAGATTTGGCTAAATTTATTGGGTGGCAATTGTGTGCTTAGCATTGTGGTGTTTTTCACTTCTGTTTATTTATTCACTGGGCCAATCCTGGGAAGTCAGTGCCATCATATCATCTCATTATCATCACTTTTCAATTGAAGAAACGGAGTACAGCGATGTACTCTTGTCCTAGGTTGCCAGTCCATGTTTTTGCCTTCTCTGCATCCACTCTCCCTTCCCCTGTTTTCTTTTGAGGATGCCCAGCCCCTGCACACTCAGTCCTTGTGATTTAGCCAATGCCAGCCTCTCCCCAAGGATCCAGTGGAGCCAAAAGGCAGGTCTAGCCAATCAGACTTTTTCTTGTCTTTGGCATACAACCCACATCAGCCCAATAAGAATCCCCAAACCCTGAGATTTTGGAGGAGAGACACTCTTTTTTTCCTGGGAATGCTGAGGAGGGAAACCTAAAGCTGCTGGCAACCTTGCTGCCACCACGTGGGCAAAGTTTGGCTAAGAATGGAGCCAATACAGAGAAGAACAGAGTCAAGTGGTGCGAAAATGGAGGAACGGAAATCTGATCACACTGTTTGAAAACGTGGATCTGGCTAAGTCTACAGTAAGTTTTACCCCTGGATTTTTAAGTGTATGGGCCAATGAATTACCTTTTGTTTATTGTCAGCTTGATTTAGCCTCTTTTTTTTGGGGGGGGGTGTCACTTATAGGCAAGAGACTTTCCATCAATACATATGTGAATGGATCCTATTTTAGGCCTCAACTCTACGCCCTGGGCCATTTCTACAATGCCTTCAAAGCTAACAAGTTAATTATCTCCCAAGAACTACTTTTAAGATCATAAAAAACAAAACTCAGAGGGCTAAAATCTTCCTTCTCTTTTTTACATATTGTATTAAAAAATCTTATTGACTCTTTGTGAGAGGAAATAGTTCTCAATGTGTAGAGAGGAGAATGTCCAAGAAATCCTGATCCTTCTAAAGTTAAGTCAAATTTGAGGAAAAGAGCAGAAACCAACCAGTCAATCCTCCTCAGCCTGAGGCAGACTCACCTTTCAGCTGGAGGTAGCCCTGAGCCAGGTTAACATGCGCCTCGGCCAGTTTCCAGTGTGAGTCACCATAGCAGATCCTCGTCAGCGCCACACAGCGCACAAGCTCCTGGAGAGCCTGTTTATACTGGAGGAAGGGGAAATGGGCTCACCAGTTAGACAGCAAAGCACAAAATCAACTTGTATTTTTATCCATTCAATATACACTTACTGAGTGTTGATTATGGACCGGGCATGGTTTTAAGGACTTGTGATACATTAGAGAACAAAACAAAGATCTGTCTTGGATGGCAGGATATTCATCAGGTCGGGTGAAATAGACAATACACATAAAAAAACCAGTAAAATTTATAGTACATTTAAAGTTATAGTCAATAGTGAAAAACGTTATGGAGTAAAGACGCTGCCCATTGATGAACAGCTACTACGTATTCAGGTACAACAAGTGGGCGAATGGTGATACTTTTCAAATAACGCCCGTTAGTTCTCAATTCAAACACCTTCTTTAGCAGCTGGGATATTAGCACAGCAAATGAGGTCAGCAGGACTTTACAAACAGATTTCATTAAGGGATTAAAGCACATTTTCATCTGGAGCCAGGACAAAGAGAATAGCGAACCATGGATTCTAGCTCCAGGTCAGCTTAGAACAGCAATACACTCAAAGCAAGACTGGTAGTTTTAAAATACAGCTCCAAAATTCTTTGATACTCCTTCCATACAGAGATGGTGGTCTATGTCCCCTTTTCCTTGAATCTGGGTTTTATGACCGTTTGGCTAAAAGAACATGGAGGAAATGATGCAGTGCCACTTTTTAGACCCAATTCTTTTTTTTTTAAAATATTTTACTTATTTATTTGGTTGCACCGGGTCTTTGTTGCGGCAGGCAGGCTCCTTAGTTGCGGCTTGCCAGCTCCTTACTTGCAGCACTTGGGCTCCTCAGTTGTGGCATGCGAACTCCCAGCTGCTGCATGCATGTGGGATCTAGTTCCCTGACTAGGGATCAAACCCGGGCCCCCTGCATTGGGAGCGTGGAGTCTCAACCACTGTGCCACCATGGAAGTCCTAGACCCAGTTCTTAAAGAACTGCCAGCTTCCACTTTTTACTCACTCTTGGAACTTGTTATGGGCTGAATTGTGTCTCCCACCTCCAAATTCATCTGTTGGAGTCCTAAGTACTTCAGAATATAACTGTATTTGGAGAGATGGCCTTTAAAGAGGTGAATAAGGTAAAATGAGGCTGTCAGGATGGGGCCCTAATCTAATATGACTGGTGTCCTTGTAAGAAGAGAAAGGGACACTAGGAATGGGCACACACAGAGAAACACGTTGTGAGGACGCAGTGGGAGTCAAGGAGAGAGCCCTCTGAATAAAATCAACCCTGCCAACACCTTGACCTTAGACTTCTAGGCTCCAGAACTGTGAGAAAATAAACTTCCTTTGTTGAAGCCAGCCAGTCTGACGTATTTTGCCATAGCAACCCCAGAAGACTAGTAACCTAACCACCATTCCATGAGGAAGCCTAAGCGGCCCCACGGAGAGGCCTACATGGAAATGTTTTGGTGGCAGCATCAATCGGTCAACCGCAGGACTACGCCACCCTGCCATCAGATTCTCCACACGTGTTGAGCCCAGCTGATGCTGCATGGAGCAGAGCTGACCAGATCTCACTGAGCTCTGCACAAATTGTGCATTCATGAGCAAAATAAATGGTTGTTTTTGTTTTATGCCACTAAGTCTTAGAGTGTGATACAGTAATAGAGAGCTGGAATAGCAAAAGAGGAGGTGGGAGGTACAAAGCTGAAGGGGGCAAAGCAGAGAAAGAACTGTAAGAACAAGGACAGAGTTATGGAAAAGACCCAGCAGAAGACCCAGTACACCCCCAACCCCTACTCCCCCGGTCAATGCCTAAGCTCAAAGAACCTGCACTTCCACAAAGTTCCCATGTGAGTTAGAAACACTTTCATCTTGAAACAACATTCCTCTTGACAAAAAATTCATACCCAGACAGTTGACCACAGGACAGTTGCTTTTCTGACCTAGCAAGAGAGGCTGGGGAACACTGTGCTCACTCCATAGTGATGAAGGAAGATGGAGGTGTGGCTTTTTCCTATAGTAACATTTTTCTTATTACAAAAGTAATACATGCTCATTATCAAAATACAGGTGAGCAAAAAAAAAAAATCACCTGCCATCTCACCCCTTAGAGACAACTAGGCAGCTAAATTTCTCTCTATCCTTCATTCCTATGAATCTATCTATACATATTTTTTCCTTTTAAAAATAGGCTTATAAGCTACATATAGGTTTGCAACTTTTCACAATTTGTGAACATTTCTCCATGTCATCTTCTATGATAATAATTTTTTATGGCTGCATAGTATTTTATTGTATGGATATATTATAAGTGAGTTACTCAACCAATAGCTATTGAGCACTTAGGTTGTTTTAAAATTTTTTCTCTCTGAACATCCTGTGTGGATAGATTTGCTCATATCCATAAGCATTTCCTTTTTCTTTTTTTTATAGCATTCTTTTTTTTATAGATATAAATTTATTTATTTTATTATTTATTTTTGGCTGCATTGGGTCTTTGATGCTGCATGCGGGCTTTTTGTAGTTGCAGTGAGCAGGGGCTACTCTTTGTTGTGGTGCACAAGCTTCTCATTGTGGTGGCTTCTCTTGTTGTGGAGCACGGGCTCTAGGTGCACGGGCTTCAGTAGTTGTGGCATGTGGGCTCAGTAGTTGTGGCTCGTGGGCTCTAGAGCACAGGCTCACTAGTTGAGGCACATGGGCTTAGTTGCTCCGTGGCATGTGGGATCTTCCCGGACCTGGGCTCGAACCTGTATCCCCCTGCATTGGCTGGAGGATTCTTAACCACTGCGCCACCAGGGAAGCCCCATAAGCATTTTCTTAGAATGAATTCCAACGTGACAATAGAGTAAAGGATGTGCAAAATCCTGAGGCTTTGCTAGAGTTTGCTGGAGTGCTTCCTCGAGAGGCTGCTTCCATCCACACCTCCCTTACAGCACGGTGTGTGAGCAGGGAATGCCCCTTACACAGAGCCAAGCACTAATTGGGGTCTAACTTGCCAATTTGTCAGTTAACTTATTTCTCCTTGTTTTAGTTAGTGTTTTTTTTTCCGCAAAGCTAGTGAGGCTGAACATCTTCATGTGTTTATTGGCTTTCTGTAGTTCTTCTTTTGGGAAACATCTATTTATTGCCTCTAGAGACAGGAAGTTTAGGGAATAGCTTCCTTGAAGACACACAGCAAATGAATACAGTGTATGAGAAAGAAAGAAGTGACGAAAACATTGAGAAGTCTAGATAGACAGTTTGCCAAAAAGAGAGGAGGATCTGATCTGATGGTGAATCTGTCCCAACCACAAGTTTCCAAGGAAGGGCTATATGCAGTCTGAGAGTCAGCCTCCCAGAGCAGAGCCTTGGTCCTCACTACCTGCATCGGGGACCAGGGCACAGAAAGAGCAGCCTGTCCTCCCTCTGCTTTCATATTTGCTAGGATGTGTAGTCCAGATACTGCCTTTTGATTTTCCAACCTTTATCCTGCCAGTTCCAGTGGCTTTAGCCAACAGGCATGGGTAGCAGGTAGACAGAAGAGAAGCATCAGTAGGAAGACAATTTCAGAACTGGGATGAGCCTTGGAAATAATCTAGTCTGATCACTTCAATTTAAAGAAGAAATGTAAGGCCAGAGAGGTGAGATGATTTATCACCGAGTGGTAGAGTCGGAACTCACAGTCAAGCTCCTTGATGCAAAGTCCAGATCTCTTCCCACAACATCATTCTTGAGTTACCTGAATTTCTTAAACTTCTTAATATTAAAATATGCAACTCTGAGGATCAGTAAGTCTGGCCATACATATTTTAAAATGGGTATTAATACCCAGATCTTGGTGTCTAAATATCAATGCTATTCTCTTCTAAGAGGAACCAGCATTCCCTGAATCCACAGCTGGAGCAGGGAAATACAAGATGAACCTGAAAAATCCGATTGTGTCGGAAGTTAAGGAAAGAATCATGGGAACATATCAAGGACTCAGAAGCCAGCTTGAAGGGGCTCCCTCTGGCAAATACAAAATAATTTAAGTTTTGACGACAATAATGGATTGTAACATATTTGTAAAACAGGATTTCTTGAACCCACAGTGATATAAATAAATGAACAATAAAGTGTGAAGAAGGAAAAGCTCTTCCTCATAAAAAGAATGCCAACAAACAAATGTTGAAAGAATGCTGAAGTCAGAGAATCACCATTTGACAAACATCATAGTAATAGTTAATTCAGGTGAGAATCATCAATGGATGCTATAAACTAGGGGGTGAAGTTTTAATGAGGAATAGGATGTGTTCACAGTATCAATGAATCTCCCCACAAAATATTAATTACAAAGGGAAGAATAATAATTCTACAGTGAAAAAACCTGCCAGATAGCTCCTTAACCAAGCGATCAAATTTAGCCTCATAGTAATGAGACAAACGACATCGTACACCTCCTAATATGATGCACTGAGAAGGGCCCTATGTCAGGTCTGTGGGATTTCTGCCCCAAATGCATAATCTGAATCCAATCATAAGGAAACACATGCCAAATTCAAATTGGGAGGTATTCTACAAAATAATTGGAGTGTATATTTGTGGCCCCTGCCAAATTCATATGTTGAAGCCTTAATTCTCACTGTAGTATTTGGAGATAGGGCCTCTAAGGCTGTAATTAGGGTCAAATAATGTTATAAAGGTGGGGCCCTGATCAATAGGATTAGTGTACTTATAAGAAGAGACACCTTTCTCTCCCCCTTCCCCCACACGCACAAAGAAGAGGCCATGTGAGGACACAGCTAGAAGGTGGTGGTCTGCAACCCAAGGGGAGAGCTCTCACCAGACGCCAGCCCTGCTGGCACCTTGATCTTGGACTTCCAGTCTCCAGAACTGCGAGGAGTACATTTCTGTTGTGTAGGCCACCCAGTCTGTGGTATTGTATTACAGTAGCCCAAACAGACTAATACAGTACTTTTCACAAATACTAAGATTGTGAAAGACAAAGATAGCCTAAGTAACTGCTCTGTTGACTATAGTCAACATGACTTCATGGATTGGACCATGGCTGATTTTTTTTCTATAAAAGATATTATTGAGATAATTTGAGAAATATGGGTAATGTTTGTAGATTAGATAATAATATATATCAATATTAATTGCCTAATTTCAATCATTGTACTATGGTTATGTAGGAGAATATCCTTCATTCTTGGGAAATAGGCACTGACGTATTTAGGGGTAAAGGATCATACATTTGTAAATTACTCTCAGATATTCAGAAAAATAATGACAGAGAGAGAGAGTGAGAAATAAAGAAATAAAGTAAATGTTAACAACTGGTATATCTTGTAACTTTTCTGTAAGTCTGAAAGTATTTTAAAATAAAAAATTACCAAAGAATGGTATTTTAAGAAGCAAATTATGTCATATTAATACTTTCCTAAAAACATTAAGGCTTCCTAGAGCACTTAACTTAGACCCGCAAGGCAGGTAAGCTGCCTCTCCAACTACATTTCATGTCAGCCTGAAGCTTCCTATCATCACTTCAAACATAGTCATGCTCATGCCAAACTTATAAATTTTATGGCTGCTGTTCCCTCTCCCTAGAACTCCTTTTCCTCAGCTCCTCCATGTTGGCTCCTTCTCTTCTTTAGGTGTCAGCTAAGATGTCACCTCCTCAATGAGGCTCTCCCTTACCTAAGATAGGTCCACTCTGTTTCCTCCATAGCACTTAGCACAATCTCTACTTCACTGGTTTATTTACAATGTCCCCTCAGCTCCATGAGGGCAGGCAAGCTGTTTGTCCTGTTCATTGCTGAATCCAAGGATTCCTCATCTGAACGGCAGAACACAAAAAATGCTTTGATATCATTCTAGATGCATAGAAGAGAAGTTAATTCTTTATATACACCAAATGCAGATGGCCAACAGACACATGAAAAGATGCTCAACATCACTAATTATTAGAGAAATGCAAATCAAAAGTACAATGAGGTATCACCTCTCACCAGTCAGAATGGTCATCATCAAAAAACCTACAAACAATAAATGCTGGAGAGGTGTGGAGAAAAGGGAACCCTCATACACTGTTGGTAGGAATGTAAATTGATACAGCCACTATGGAAAACAGAATGCAGGTTCCTTAAAAAACTAAAAATGAAACTACCATATGACCCAAAAATCCCACTACTGGGCATATACCCAGAGAAAACCATAATTCAAAAAAACTCATGCACCCCAATGTTCATAGCAGCACTATTTACAATAGCCAGGACATGGAAGCAACCTAAATGTCTATCAACAACCTAACTGTCTATCTTCTTTATCCAGCAAATGGATAAAGAAGATGTGGCACATATATACAATGGAATATTACTCAGCCATAAAAAGAAATAAAATTGGGTCATTTGTACATACATGGATGGACCTAGAGAGTGTCATACAGAGTGAAGTAAGTCAGAAAGAGAAAAGCAAATATCGTATAATAACACATATATGTGGAATCTAGAAAAATGGTATAGATGATCTTATTTGCAAAGCAGAAATAGAGGCAGAAACGTAGAGTACAAACGTATGGATACCAAGGGGGAAAGGGATGGGGTGGGAGGAATTGGGAGACTGGGATTGACACATATACAGTATTGATACTATGTACAAAATAGACAACTGATGGGAACATACTGTATAGCACAGGGAACTCTACCTAATGCATTGTGGTAACCTAAATAGGAGGGAAGTCCAAAAGGGAGGGGATATCTGTACATGTATGGCTGATTCATTCTGTTGTGCAGTGGAGGCTAACAAAACATTGCAAAGCAGCCATACTCCAATACAAATTAATAATATATATATATATATATATACACACACACACACACACATATATATATATATATATATATATACACACACACACACACACCCCAAATGCCTTAGGGCATTAAGGCTTAGTTCTCTTGCAGACCTCTGGTTGAGAAAGGCTGCCGGCTGAGGCTGACATAGCACCCAGCCTGGCACATAGTAGGTACTAAATAAATATCTGCTGCATAATGAATAAGCACACCTTCAAAACTGAATTCACACCTTCTCTCCATAATCCTGGTCTTCTTCCTGTATTCATTACAATAACAAAGGGCTCTGACAAGCCTTGGGTCACCTAGGCTGGCTGAGCCCTAAGTCAGGAATTGCACACACCCCTCTCTGGCTCACTCTTGCCTCTCCAACCCCTATGTCCCCCCCAGTTACCAGGTTTCATTGATTCATATTTCCAAATTCTTATCAAAAGATCTCAGCATTTTGCAACTAGAGATTATCATACTAAGTGAAGTAAGTCAGAAAGAGAAAGACAAATACCATATGATATCACTTATGTGTGGATTCTAAAATATGACACAAATGAACCTATCTATTAAACAGAAACAGAATCACAGACATAGAGAACAGACAGGTGGTTGCCAAGGGGAAGGGGACTGCGGGAGGGATGGACTGGGAGTTTGGGATTAGCAGATGCAAACTAATAAATATAGAATGTATATATATTTATATATATATAGAAAAAATATATATATAAAACAAGGTCCTACTGTATAACACAGAGAACTATAATTAATATCCTATGATAAACCATAATGGAAAAGAATATTAAAAAAAGAATGTATATATATATGAATAACTGAATCACTTTGCTGTATAGCAGAAATTAACACAACATTGTAAAAAAATACTTCAAATAATTAAAAAAAAAGATCTCAGCATTTCTACTGACTCTGCCATATTTCAGGCCTTTGCCAGGATTATTGCAAATATCCTGCAAACTAGTCCTCCTCCTCCAGTTTACCTCCCTTCTCTTCCTCCACCACCCAGTTATTTGAGGTCTGAGGGATCATTCCAGACACTCAGACTTGCTCATGACCCTCTTCTGCTTATGATCCTATGACAGTCTCCAGCACCCTGAGAAGAAAATCTAAACTTTTCCTGGGTGTTGAACACCTTCTGGTCCCAGCTCCTGTTCAAAATCCAACCTCATTTGCTGCCCTGTGTAACTAAAGTCTCCATCCCAGATAGTTCCAAATAGTTCCCCAAGCAGCCTGTGCACCCTCAAACCCACAACTCTTGCCCATCTGCCACCTCTGCCCAGAACGCTATTGTCCTCTCTCCTACCTGGGGCCAGCTCCTAAGTACTGTTATCAGTGCAGTCCAAATAACTCCCATCCCAAGAAGCATGCCTTAAGTGCTGTCCCTCCTCCAACTCCAGCCCATCCCTCCTCCCCTCACTCCCCATGCTTTGCATCTATACCACCTAAGCTTGTGTTTGTCACAGAACTTAGGCTGATTACCATTATCCATCTGTCTCCCCAACCAGACCATGAATCCCTCTGAGGCAGAGGCTGTAGCTTTCCCATCTGTGCCTCCAGCACTTGCACAGCACCTGGCACACATTAGGTATACAGTAAATTTTTGTGAATAAATGGACAAATAGGGTCTGACACATAAGAGGTGGTAGCGAAATACATATTGAATGAATGAGTAAATGAATAAAACTTTGAAGAGAGATGGGAAAGAAGTATACAGAGAACAAGATTAGGAACCTAAGAAATATAAGCTCCATGAGAGCAGAAACTTCATCTGCTTTGTCCTGTATTCCAGTGCCTAGACCTGGCACACAGGAGGAGCTCAATAAATATTTACTGATTGATGGAAAATGACTGTAGTAGGTCAAATCACAACCAGTCAGTCTAGTGTACACTTGTCAGAGGTCAGGGAAAACTTGTTTGTTCATTTGTGCACTCATTCAGCAAACATAATGTTGACTGTGCCAAGTGCTGGGCTTGGAGTCCTGAGGTACTACACCCACTCACACTATGAAAAAGGCACTGTCATATTTTCTCTTGTACCAAAATCCTGAGGGTAGGAATGCAACCTAAAGTATCCTACTTCTCAATTACCAGAGTACAGGTATAAAAAGAAAGGCTCCTTACTTACCTCATGACTGCTAGAATAGGACTTTGCTTTCTCTTCACAGAGGTGGAGTTTCTCTCGAGGAGGCTGAAACAGTGCTGTCTGAGGCAGCTTGTTTTGGAGCATTTTTCTAGGTGTTATGCTGACGGCAGCAACAATTTCATCCAGGTGGTTGGATATGTGAGTTCCCTGTGATTCTTGCATATTTTTATATACATTATCCTCTAATTTTAAAATAAGGAAACGAAGGTGTTAATGGTAATTTCCATAGCTACTTTTAGAAATACACATTTTTTTCTAGAAATTGAGACTAGAATCTAAGAAAATTTCAACACTATACTCATGACTTCTTTGAAATAAGTAGCATTCTATCCAAAAAGATCCTAGTGGCTAGTACTAACTTCTTTCAGACTGATTTCAAGTTTTAACTAGACCAAACATTCTTTGTTCTCACTCTATATTATATGTATATATATATGTATATGTGTATACACACATACTGATATATTTTATATATATGATATACGTATCTATATGTTATATATGGTATATATGTATATGTATATATATCAGTAGGAATCAGCTGAGCCCAAACAGTTCTCAAAGAGCTCAGATTAGATCTGTTGAATCCCAAGTGACCTTGAAAACAGGAAAAAATGACATGTTAAACTTTCACTTCCAGCCAAGATGGAGTAATAGGGATGAGATTTATCCTCTTGCCCGAAGTCACCAGCCAGTTAACAAACAACAACAACAATAAAAAACAACCTATAGGCAAAAAAGGTATGAAACAATGGTTTTCAAGAGACAGGACAACAGACCTGAGAAATGGAAAAAAGAAACAAAGTGAGACCCATGATTGCCCCAGGTTATTGCTTTGAAAAAGTTTCTAGAACATGCAGGGTAACCCAGAATTACCCTGTGGGCTATCTGAGTTGAGGAAATAGAGTAGAGCATCTGGGGAGACCAAGGTGGCTGGAGTTCACAGGACAGATTACTAGAGAGGATAGAGTTGCACAGAGAGGACCCCAGAGATTAGCACCCCTCAAGTATGGGGAGAGAATACTGACCAGCATGTGTGTAAGAAAACTACTTGAGTCTGGAGGAAGACTCCTCTAATAAGATTCAAAGGAAGTGTCTGGTGCTCACCAAGGCTGGTGCCTGTTCCCACTGACTAGACTGGAAAAACTCATAATTCGTGAGGTACACGGTAAAATATTCAGAAGGGTTTTGTCTCAGTAATGGGGATTAGCCCTAGAGTGAACCCTGCTTAGATCCACTTAACAAACCATGAAAGTAAGACCTAAAAGGATAAAACTGTTTCCGAGTAACTTAACTGTATCAGAGGGCAAAACTCAAGGATGTTCATAGGAATGCAAAAATAGCCAGCATTAAACAAGGTAAAATTCATATAATCTGATGTCCAAAGAAAGATCACCAGGCATGCAAATAGGCAAGAAAACATGGCCCATAATGAGAAGAATAATCAGTCAAAACTGACCCAGATATTAAGTTAGCAGAGAAGAAAATTAAAGGTTATTATAATTGTATTCCATATGTTTAAAAAGTTAACTAGAGACACGGAATATAAAAAGACCCAAAATGAACTTCTAGATAAGAAAATTATACGTGAGATGAAAAATACACTAGATCAGATTAATGGGAGATTAGATATTACAGATGAAAAGATGCATGAACTTGCAGACATAGCAATAGAAACAATCTTTTAAAAAATCAGTGAGCTGTGAAACAACTTCAAATTGCCTTATATATAATTTGAGTCCCTAAAGGAAAGCAGATTGTAGTGGGGACAAAAAAAAGTGTTTGAAGAAATAATGGCCAAAATTTTTCCAAATTTGAGGAAAAATAAAAACCCAGAGATTCAGGAAGCTAAATGAAAACTAAACACAAGAAGCATAAAAGAAACTACACCAAGATACATCATAACCAAATTGCTCAAAACCATGATAAAGAGAAAATATTAAAAGTAGTCAGAAAAAAGGACATATTAGTATTAAAAAAAAAAAGATGACGATAGCAGGTTTCTGGGAGGAAATAAAGCATATGAGAAGACAGTGAAGAACCATATATAAAGTATGGACAGAAAAAAAATTGTCAAGCTGAAATTCCGTACCAGTGAAAATATCTTTCAAGATCAAAATCCGAAAGAAATCATCACCAGCGGGACTTCCCTGGTGGTGCAGTGGTTAAGAATCCTCCTGCCAATGCAGGGGACACAGGTTCAAGCCCTGGTCCAGGAAGATCCCACATGCTGCAGAGCAACTAAGCCCATGCACCACAACTACTGAGCCTGTGCTCTAGAGCCCACAAGCCACAACTACTGAGCTTGCGTGTCACAACTACTGAAGCCTGTGTGCCGAGAGCCTGTGCTCCACACCAAGAGACGCCACTGCAATGAGAAGCCCACACACTGCAACGAAGAGTAGCCCCCACTAGCCGCAACTAGAGAAAGGCCGCCCACAGCAACAAAGACCCAATGCAGCCTAAATAAATTAATTAATTAAAAAAAAATCATCACCAGCAGATTTGCACCCCAATGTTCCCAAGAAATATTAAGTGAAGTCTTTCAAAAGGAAGAAAAATGATAATAAATGGAAATATAGATCTACACAAAGGAAGTCAGAACAATGAAAAAGATACTTACATGGGCAAATATGTAAGACATATTTTCATATTATTTCATATATTTTCATATTTCATATATTTTCATATTTCATATATTTTCATATTTCATATATTTTCATATTATTTAAATCTCTTTAAAAGATAATCGAGCAGAGGAGTAAGACATGGAGATCACCTTCCTCCCCACAAATACACCAGAAATACATATACATGTGGAACAACTCTTAGAGAACACCTACTGAACGCTGACAGAAGACCCCAGACTTCCCAAAACGCAAGAAAATCCCCACGTACCTGGGTAAGACAAAAGAAAAAAGAGAAAACAGAGACAAAAGAATAGGGATGGGACCTGCACCTCTGGGAGGGAGCTGTGAAGGAAGAAGAGTTTCCACACACTAGGAAGCCCCTTCACTGGTAGAGACGGGGGGGGGGGGGGGGGGGGACGCTTTGAAGCCATGGAGGAGAGCACAGAAACAGGGGTGCAGAGGGCAAAGCGGAGAGATTCCCGCCCAGAGGATTGGTGTGTACCAGCACTCACCAGCCTGAGAGGCTTGTCTGCTCACCCGCCAGGGCTGGTGGAGGCTTGGAGCTGAGGCTCTGGCTTTGGAGGTCAGATCCCAGGGAGAGGACTGGGGTTGGCTGCATGAACACAGCCTGAAGGGGTCTAGTGTGCCACAGCTAGCCGGGAGGGAGTCCAGGAAAAAGTCTGGACCTGCCTAAGAGGCAAGAGACCATTGTTTCGGGGTGTGCAAGGAGAAGGGATTCAGAGCACCACCTAAATAAGCTCCACAGATGGGTGCAAGCTGCGGCTATCAGTGTGGACATCAGAGACTGGCATGAGAGGCTAAAGCTGTTGCTGCAGTCACCAAGAAGCCTGTGTGCAAGCACAGGTCACTAACCACACCTCCCCTCCCCAGAGCCTGTGCAGCCCGCCACTGCCAGGGTCCCGTGATCCAGGGACAACTTCCCTGGGAGAACACACAGCATGCCTCAGGCTGTTGCAAAGTCACGCCGGTCTCTGCCACCACAGGCTCGCCCCACATTCCGTAAACCTCCCTTCCCCAGGCCTAGTGAGCCGGAGTTCCCTAATCAGCTACTCCTTTAACCCCATCCTGTCTGGGGGAAGAAGAGACGCCCTCAGGCAACCTACACGCAGAGGTGGGGCCAAATCCAAAGATGAACCGCAGGAGCTGTGTGAACAAAGAAGAGAAAGGGAAATTTCTCCCAGCAGCCTCAGGAGCAGTGGAGTAAATCTCCACAATCAACTTGATGTACCCTGCATCTGGGAATACCTGAATAGACAATGAATCATCCCAAACTTCAGGCAGTGGACTTTCGGAGCAACTGTAGACTTGGGGTTTGCTTTCTGCATCTAATTTGTTTCTGGTTTTATGTTTATCGTAGTTTAGTATTTAGAGTTTATTATCATTAGATTTATTGATTTGATTGCTCTCTTTCTTCTATATATATATTTTTTTTCATTTTTCTCTTTTTGTGAGTGTGTATGTGTATGCTTCTTTGTGTGATTTTGTCTGTATAGCTTTGCTTTCACCATTTGTCCTACAGTTCTGTCTGTCTGGTTCTTTTTTGTTTGTTTTGTTTTTTTAGTATAGTTTTTAGTGCTTGTTATCATTGGTGGATTTGCTTTTTGGTTTGGTTGCTCTCTTCTTTCTTCCTTCTTTAAAATTTTTAATAATTAAAAAAATTTTTATTTTAATAACTTTCTTTCCTTTCTCCCTCCCTCCCTCCCTCCCTCCCTCTCTCTCTCTCTCTTTCTTTCTTTCCTTTTCCCTCCCTTTTCTTCTGAGACTTGTGGCTGACAGGGTCTTTGTGCTCCAGCGGGGTGTCAGGCCTGAGCCTCTAAGCTGGGAGAGCTGAGTTCAGACACTGGTCCACCAGAGACCTCCCGGCTCCACATAATATCAAATGGCAAAAGCTCTCTCAGTGATCTCCATCTCAACGCTAAGACCCAGCTCCACTCAACGACCAGCAAGCTACAGTGCTGGACACCCTATGCCAAACAACTAGCAAGATAGGAACACAATCCCACCCATTAGCAGAGAGGCTGCCTAAAATCATAACAAGGCCACAGACACCCCAAAACACACCACCAGACGTGGTCCTAACCACCAGAAAGACAAGATCCAGCCTCATCCACCAGAACACAGGCACCAGTCCCCTCCACCAGGAAGCCTACACAACCCACTGAACCAAACTTAGCACTGGGGGCAGACACCAAAAACAAAGGGAATTACGAACCTGCAGCCTTTGAGAAGGAGACCCCAAACACAGTAATTTAAGCAAAATTAGAAGACAGAAAAACACACAGCAGATGAAGGAGCAGTGTAAAAACTCACCAGACCAAACAAGTGAAGAGTAAATAGGCAGTCTACCTGAAAAAGAATAGAGAGCAAAGATGATCCAAAATCTTGGAAACAAAATGAAGAAAATACAAGAAATGTTTAACAAGGACCTAGAATAACTAAAGAGCAAACAAACAATGATGAACAACACATAAAAGAAATTAAATGTGCTCTAGAAGGAACCAATAGCAGGATAACTCAGGCAGAAGAACGGA